AAGATTACTGTAATTCACTATACTATGGAATAAGTCAGTCCTCTATAATGCGTTTACAGATGGTCCAAAATGCTGCTGCAAGGATGCTGACAGGCAGACGGAGGTTCGATAATGTCTCGCCCATTCTTATTTCACTAAACTGGTTCAAATTTAGAATTACTTTTAAAATTTTAACTTTTGTTTTTAAATCTCTTCATAATCAAGCCCCATCATATCTCTCTGAGACAATCTCTATCCATAAACCAAATAGGTCCCTAAGATCCAGTAATCTTGGTCTCCTCTCTGTTCCTAGATCGAGGTTCCATTGTAGAGGTGATCAAGCCTTCACTGTTGCCGGTCCTAGTCTATGGATAATTACCATATAATTACCAGCTTCTATTAGAGCTGCGCCCTCTTTGCCAGTATTTAAATACCTGCTTAAAAAACATATTTTTTCAATAGCTTTTATCTAGCCATGTCAATTGTATTGTTATATTGTGTTTTGATGTTTTGTGGTTTCTTATGTTTTCTTTTTAGCTGTATTGTACAGCGCTTTGGATCAACCGGTAGTTGTGTGAAAGTCCTTTATAAAGAAAGAAAGAAAGATAGGATTTAGCCCCACTGTAGGAAGGCAGGGAGGAAAATGGATACCATGAAGAATTCAGTGATCGTAATTCTTACATGGTTTTGGGCTCAGGTACAGAATGAGTATGGAGAGGGGCAAGAGGTAGGGATCCCTTTTTGTGCAATTGCTGCAAACTCAGTCATCCTGATGGCAAGATCCTCTAGATCAGGGCTTCTAGAGGGCCTGGTTTTCAATCAGTATGCCAGGTTTTTCAACAATTCCCCCTTGAGACCCTCAGGGTCTTGCCCTCCCTGGCTGGCATTACTTCAGTTGGTCTGGTGTACATGTTCTGGAGGTCGCTGGCTGTCCACTTCTTGGGAATTTTGAGGAAATATGTCATGTTCTCTTGACAGGCTTGCTCTTAGATTGCTTTATCTAGATATGTGAGTTTCTTGGATCTGTCTAAAAGTTTTATTCTTTTAGGAGCATTAATTGGCACTGCTTTTTTACTTGCATTATTTTTTAAACTTTTTAATGTGCTCACAAAAAACTGTTCTGGGTTCCTGGAATATTCATTCTCAAACAAGTGCCCATTTGCATTAGTACATAGTACATTCTCAGAAAGAAATGCCCTAATGTCTCTTTCTATCTCTGTTTGTATGTCCTTTTTGTTTGTTATTTTCTCTACAAAGTCAGACATACCATCTGCACCCACAGACTGCCAGATGTCCACCTATGGTTGCTGCTATGATGGTGTGACGGCTGCTGGTGGTACTCATGGGGAGGGGTGCTCCAACCCCCCCAGCAATAGTAAGTCATAATATAATATGTCAGAGCGTTAGAAAAGTGTTGTAGTCGAGACCAGCTCATTTGAGTTGGAGCCAAGAGGAGGGTCGAGTCCAAAGGGACCAAGCCCATGAAAATATGTGACCCTGGACCACAAAACCAGTCATAAGGGTCAATTTTTTGAAATCGAGATTTACACATCACCTGAAAGCTGAAATAAATAAGCGTTCCATTGATGTATGGTTTGTTAGGATAGGACAATATTTGGCCGAGATACAACTATTCGAAAATCTGGAATCTGAGGGTGCAAAAAAATCTAAATATTGAGAAAATCGCCTTTAAAGTTGTCCAAATGAAGTTCTTAGCAATGCATATTACTAATCAAAAATTAAGTTTCGATATATTTACAATAGGACATTTACAAAATATCTTCATGGAACATCATCTTTACTTAATATACTAATAATTTTGGCATAAAAGAAAAATCTATAATTTTGGCCAAGCCCAATGTATTGTTGGCTATTGCTACAAATATACCCCAGCGACTTAAGACTGGTTTTGTGGTCCAGAGTCACATATGTATACCCAAAAGTGAGCTAAACTTGACAAAACCTCCAAAAACCTCCCTTTGTAAAACGGGTATAAAAATTAATTAAAGTGTTTTTTTTTGTTGTTTTTTTAAATGCAGAAAGTTTTCTGCAAGGGGTAGGGTTAGGGTGTGGGTTAGGATTTGCTTCTAAAATCTATATTTATCTTTATATAAAAACAATAGAAGTCAATGTAATGTCCCCATTTAGATAGCTAAGTAAACGTGTGTGTGTGTGTGTGTGTGTGTGTGTGTGTGTGTGTGTGTATGTGTGGTCCAGAGTCACATATGTGCAAGACCAAGACAATGTAATTCTCAAGGCTGAGTCCAAGACCAAATTTTCATGGTCTTGGTTTATCATGGACTTGGGAGCATGTGGACTCTGTCTTGATTCTGATGACACTGTTCAGGTCTCATTTTTGATTTGGACTCGAATCGGCTAGTCTCGACTACAATACTGGTATTTGAAGAAAGTTGCTGGCTAATCAAACTCTGTAGAACAGATTGCATATTTTCTCTTACCCCTCGGCTCCTCAGCACAGCGTTCTCGGTCCTGTGACCTACCCCATACGGTCGGGCCATGCGATAATTGGACATCCCATTACTACTACGACCGCTCTGCCTCGCGCTGCATGCATTTCTGGTATGGTGGCTGCCATGGCAATAGCAACAACTTTGCCTCGGAGGAGGAATGCCAGAGAATGTGCCTGAGATCCGACCTGAGCCAGCGGGACCAGGCGCATGTCTTGTCTTTGCAGCACGGTGGACGCCGCTTCCCCGCACAGATCCACCACAGCTCTAGTGGTGCGACCCACATGCACCGGGCTCACCGGCTGGACCCCAGTGCCATGCAGCAGAGCAGCCCCGCTGCCAGGTAAGTTTCTCCAACTTGCCCTGGATCGCTCTACTCCTCTCCCAGGCCCAAGCCCAAGCCCCTGCAAGTTCTCTTCTGCTGTTTGCCCTTCATGCCCTGCTGAAGAGCCAAGAGAGGAGTCGCAGGCCATGCACAGAGACTTACATAGGCGTGTTAAATGCATATGCTTTTTACAAAGGTAGCGATAGTGAGCATTGCTTCACTAACAGAGTTCTGCATATGTACACACAGGATCCAAAATTAACTTTTTGCCACGTTTGCCAATATTTCTTTCTGGCCGTAATAAAAAATATAATTTTGTCCTCATGACAATAGTATACACGGAACATCATATACAGGCTAGATTGGTTTCTCAGGAAAAATTTGCTTCTCAAACAAACTTGATGAGACTCCCCATAGACAATGCTAAAATTTCAACAGCTGATAGTGTTTGTATGTCTTTGATTGGAATTTTAGACTATCATTCATAAAGTTTAACCATTTGTGAGACTAGCACTAATTGTGATATATTTTTTTAAGTTCCCAAATAAGTTACTGGCCAACTAGCAAGTTTTAGTTAAATTTGGACCCTGTGTACACACTCTAAAACACATTTGCAATTTGAACGCAGCGTAATGCCATTTTCATGTATTATGATTTGCCTCACGCTTCTTAATCTTACTAATCTACTGCATCAGTATACACTCTGACACACACTCCATGTAGAAGTTCACTCCTCACTGTGAAGTATTGGACATTGCTGTGCTTTTGGGACTGGTTTATTTCCCCTGACGCAGACTGTTATCCTCTTCTTTCTGTTGCTTTAGTGTTTAGTTACTTTTAGTTTACTTCCCCCTCCCATACCCAGGTGTGTGTGAGGGACACGATTCATTACACCATGACTAATAAAATCTGCCATGGGGTCCTAATCATCCCTGACTGTTTGTGTGTCTCTCCCAAGTCCCGTTCTTGCAATGTAGCTGTAGTATGTGAAACAGATTGTTGTAGAGTAGAACACCTCACCTATGCACTTGCTGTGATTTCGCCAAGTGTTCATGGATCAGTATCCATGGTGTTCCTAGAACAACATTCCAATCAACCCGTCAGATTTAAGGTTTAGAGTTGACATGCTTATCAACCAATTAACTTGCTTTAAATGTTCCAGGGCCAACAATATATGTTACATGATGGCTGCATTTTTTGATTTCAATATCCTAATACTAACACCCAGTCCTAAATAATCAAGAGTCAAGTAATAAATGGGATTTCTTCCATGGAACAAGGAATTCTGTTCATTATGTTTACGCCCTTGAAGGGCAATTCTAGAAGACAATGCTATTCTTTCACAAAGGCTGTTGATGAAGTTGTCAAGTGGTACAAACAATAACCACTTTTAAAGAAGTCATTTTGTTGTTTCTGACCATCTCATCCTGAGAGGCTAAAACTTGATGCTACTTACTAAAGAATTTATCCAGGCCTGCCTAACCCTCATTACCTCTAGTGTTTGTCATTGGGAAATATTCCTGATGAATTTTCATGTTGTTTTAGACATACAGCAAGTAAGCAATATGAATGAAACAAGGCACAAAAGAAGTAATTTGACTTAATGTTGCCAAAAAAACTTTTTGCTGTCAATTTTTGTAACTGTCTGTATAACTGAAATTTTCTTCCCTGCTTTGAGTAAGGAAAGAAGATTTATGACATTGAAATTCACTGCTAGAACATGGTAACAAGCTGATCTGAAATCTGAGAAATGGCAATAGAGCACAGCAGTGATGATCAAGTCAATTAAACTGGAATTACTGAAATGCAAACTCCAGGTTTTGGCCCACAAAACTTTGTCATCCCTGCAGCACTCTGTGGTTGGTCCATAAGGGAAGTTCATACTTAGTAACCATCTAGTTTCTAACCTATTCCGATCTTTCGTCTGAATAAGTCAGAAACTGGATGGTATTCTAGAGCTAGGTTCTTCTAGTTGAGTTCTCCTCTCCCTGTGGTCTCTTGTGGGTGAATTGTCCGCATGTTGGTCTGGTGTTGTTCTTTTGGGATCCTGTATTCCAGCTGTAGCCGGTCAGGCTGATCTTTATGCTTGCTGTGGTGAGTGCAGCACATGCTTCGCTGTTCCCAATAGTACAGCATAAAGTCATATGTCTTTCTTTCTTTCTTTCTTTCTTTCTTTCTTT